ATGTAAGGCTGACGTCGGTACAGTCAAACCGCTGTGATAAGGAACACTGAGGAGGGCTAGTAACTTTTTACTTAAGGAAGTGACCATTTTAAAATGTACACAACATTTAAAGGCGTTCTTTCCCCAGAAACAAAGCAAACTGTCTGTAATAATGAGGTTTCCACATTAATCAGGTGTTCATGAAGCAGGGTTTGACTAAAAAAGAGCAGGCGTTTTCAGAGAAGATGTATTTATGTGTATAAGTGTTGTTGTTATGTGTATAAGACTTGTTGAGCATGATTTTGACAGTAACCACAGGATATCATCCAATGTTTTAAAGCTACAAATACCTTACACTGTACACGTGCAGGGGAAGGCCTACTTTCAAGAATGTTTGGATGTGCATGTGCCACCACTTGGACTCTTTACATGTTGTTCAGCTATACTCAAATTCTCTCCCTATCCTAGAGTTGCTATGTTTCAGAAGCTATTCTGGCCACCTGCACTGTCCAGCCAAAAAAAAACTTACTGAGCTGTTGGTAAATTAAGATTTGTTGATTTCTTAATTTTAGTGTCAATTCCCAGGGTCCCTAGTCCAGACTAAAATCTTCAACAAGTTGATCAATTTCCAGGAAAATGATCCCCAATTCTAAATCCAAACTCTGTATACCTTATCTCACTCTAAACTACTTGAAATACCCTTGACAGCGGCTTGCACCTATGTAGCGTAAAAAAGGTGTTGCGCTCCCCCGAGTGTTGTTACTGTAAAGTTATGGATTTGTAGGTTTGATACCGTTTTGGATTCTTGGTTTATGCTTTTTTTTTTACTTTGCAGGGTAATTTCTTTGCCAACATAGGATCCATAGTAGTATTTGCTGTGTTTGGTACAGCTGTGTCTGCAATTGTTATAGGTGGTGGTATTTATTTGTTGGGAAAGGTAAGGTTATAGTAGTGTATAAAACCAGTGCTGAAAATTACCATATGTAGGACATCAGACCTTTTGAAAATGTCTGACTATTACAACAATCTTTCCTTGCAGCTAAGACTATCTATTTTGAAGAAACTCACAAATGTCAAAAACGTCCATGTATACGACGTATTCATGACTCCTAATATCCATACATTGCTGAACAAGTTTTTGTATGTCACCATGACTGCCTAGAAATTATAGAATCGGGTTTCTGACTTGTTACAGCTTAAAACTGTCAGTGATAGTTTCTAGTTTACAGAGGTTAATTATTGTGAAAACAATCAGGTAAAAAAAAAAACAAAACAAAACAAAACAAAATGCTATGCTGTATCTTAATAAGCACAACACTGCATGATGTTATATATAAATGGATACAAATAAGCATATTTTAGTAAAACATCCTTAAGAACTTCATCTAATTTGAGGGAATGTTTGAAAGCAAAATTTTATTTCTGACTTGCAGCAGCTTCCTCTTGAATAAAAATCACATCCAAGCAAAATTTCACGAACCTGCCAGATAGTAGGCCCCAGTTGTTCAAAAGCTGGATAGCACTATCCATCAGGCCCCAGTTGTTCAAACGTCGGATAGCGCTATCCACCGGATAAATCACTATCCAGCGGATAGCGTAATTGATTTCCGTATTACTTATCCGCTGGATAGTGATTTATCCGGTGGATAGCGCTATCCAACGTTTGAACAACCGGGGCCAGGTCCCAGTTGTTCAAACGTTGGTTAGTGCTATTAACCGGATAAATGACTATCCAGCAGATAAGAATTAGGGAAACCAATTGCGCTATTTAGTGGATAGAGGCTTATCCAGTGGATAGCATTATCCACCTTTTGAACTACTGGGACCAGAAAAAGTTCTATCCAGTGAATAAGTATTAGGGAAACCAGTGGCACTATACACTGGGTAGCGATTTATCCGGTCCACCTTTTGAACAACTGGGGCCAGGATGTGGTGCAAGGCAACAAATGCTACATTCATAGCTTTAGAGGAAAATCCATAGAAAAAGAGGCTAATCGAAGTAAATGTCAAGTATACTAAAAATGAAATGTTTTCAGAAAAGTGCACATTCTTTATAAGTTTAATATATTAATTTACTTGAAAAGCATGTTCCATACTGAGCCTTCTTGCAAAAGTGCCATGAAGTTTCAATGTGAGTGATCTGTGGCAAACTCATGTTTTCTTTTTGTTTTTGTTTCCTTTTTTGCCTTCATTTTCATTGTGGGATCAAAAGCAGTTGATTGTTCAGTTTTTAAATTTAACATTGCATCCAAACATGAAAGTCAATGTCTTCTTTCAACGAGCAAGTTTAGTGAACATAATCTCGATGTTCGGGCAGTAAATTTTTCATAATGAATTTTCCTTATGTTGAAGTAAAAGGTTAAGCTGATTTAAATAATCTTAATGATTGTCATAACTAAGACTATTAGATGGCAGAGCATTTACTGGGCATTTACAGGTTCTGCAATATTATATAATTTGGATAAAAATAATTTAATGAATCCAATGACCTTCCGTTACAGTATAATTTGCAAAAAGTAGTTGTGTGGGTGGAGAAAAACATTACAGTCGACTCCCGATAATTCAAACCTTCAAGGGAAATAGAAAAAAGTTCGAGTTATCGGGAATTCGAGTTATCAAGGGTAAAATTATATAGAAAATGATCTGAAGGGAAATGAAAATTGCTTCGAGTTAGCAAGCGGTTCGAGTTATAGAGGGTTCGAGTTACCGGGAGTCGACTGTACTTTTAGCTGCAAATGTAGCATTTTCAAGTTAATGTACCTTCTAATGGATGTATTTTGCTTTTCACCAGGGTGGTGTCGCATTTCAGCTTGATTTAAGAGAGAGGTAAGAAACTTGATCTACATTCCCGGACAAAATAGATGGAAAACTTGGTCAATTTTCTCTGTCTTCCCATACACAAAGTTGAAAATCACATTCCCCAACTGAACTTTTTAACAATAAGGCAAGGAGGTAAGGGGACCGCGACGTCCTGCTCAAAAAATCAGAAGTGTCTAAGTTTTTTTGAACAGGGTTGTAGGTTTCCTGAAGATGATGTTATAGTGGACAATTCTAAACGACGATTTTTAGTGCAATGTTGCGTTAAAACTTGATGCTGTGTAACATATGTGCATGGACCTTTTCTGGGCAATTTTTACATTACAAGTTTTTGAACAGGCGTCAAAAATTTCAGATGCCAAATCATAAATTCCACCCAATTTGTTTTGTGGATACATGTGTCATCAATTTTCTGTGCAAAGCTCTTTGAGAACCGTTTTTGCTTCCTTTGTTGGACTTAAATTGTCCTGTATATATCTCTTATTAGCCAATTTTTTGGTCTGTACTGTAAATTACGGACCAAGTTTTTTTCCATCGATTTATTGCCCAAGCGCAAAGCATGCAGGCCATAAATCAATGCAGCATGCAAAATAAGTAGTGTCCGATAGCCCGGGGCTAGTGGATTTGCTATCAGGCTAGTGAATTCTGTTCTTAACTTGTCCGATGGGCAAGTTGGGCAAGTGACGTATTTTGAGGAATTCAACTTAATAATAATAATAATAATAATAATATTTAATACTTATATTGCGCTTTTTCTATAAAAATACTCAAAAGCGCATTACAATATTATTAATAACTAAATTAAAAACCAGTAAACTTACAGAGGAGCTGTGAAATCATTTCTGTTCCTCAAAAAATTTTGAAGGCTAGTTGAAATGACGTCTGGGCTAGTAAATGCTAGCTTCAGCTTACCCGAATGGCAAGCTGTAGAATTGACTTTTTTTGCACACTGCAATGGAAAAAAGGTTAGAAGTTTATTCAGTCAAAACTGAGAGCACTGTAAGTATTCACTGGCCAATGTGATGCTGGAATCTTTCGAAAACTGGACATTGTGTCTGGCTTGAAGTTGCTTCCATCTCTGCCAGTTAATTTTCGTCTTTTAAACTTTGTACTGCAATAAAATTTTCAAACACTGACTAGAATCCTCTTCTTCGATAAGATTACGATTCACTCTCTTCATCACCTTCATTCATAAATATTTCACTGTTACAGTGTTGACGGATGAAGTCAANCCGGGGCTAGTGGATTTGCTATCAGGCTAGTGAATTCTGTTCTTAACTTGTCCGATGGGCAAGTTGGGCAAGTGACGTATTTTGAGGAATTCAACTTAATAATAATAATAATAATATTTAATACTTATATTGCGCTTTTTCTATAAAAATACTCAAAAGCGCATTACAATATTATTAATAACTAAATTAAAAACCAGTAAACTTACAGAGGAGCTGTGAAATCATTTCTGTTCCTCAAAAAATTTTGAAGGCTAGTTGAAATGACGTCTGGGCTAGTAAATGCTAGCTTCAGCTTACCCGAATGGCAAGCTGTAGAATTGACTTTTTTTGCACACTGCAATGGAAAAAAGGTTAGAAGTTTATTCAGTCAAAACTGAGAGCACTGTAAGTATTCGCTGGCCAATGTGATGCTGGAATCTTTCGAAAACTGGACATTGTGTCTGGCTTGAAGTTGCTTCCATCTCTGCCAGTTAATTTTCGTCTTCTAAACTTTGTACTGCAATAAAATTTTCAAACACTGACTAGAATCCTCTTCTTCGATAAGATTACGATTCACTCTCTTCATCACCTTCATTCATAAATATTTCACTGTTACAGTGTTGACGGATGAAGTCAACATCCAAGTCCTCATGGTTGACAGACATCTTATAAGTTTCTTTAAACCTTTGTTAGAGATTAAGAATTGCAAAATGAGCATTTGCTTTTGAGATTTTGGTCCGAATAGCTAGTTTCGGACTGCAAACATTGACCAATTGCATGGCAAAAACAGACTTAGCCATATAATAAAACATGTTACGTACAGATTTTACGTGCACATTAATTTTGTGTTGCTAGTTTTTTTATGAATTGTCCTGTGTAGCATCTCCTTAAACTTTAATGCCATTTTGCAACACTGACAGGAGCTAGAAATTACCATTGAGAATTGTCCTGTGTAGCGTCATCTTAACCTCTTGCAGAAACATGATTAGTTGTGACCTTTATTAAACAAGCGAAAGAAGGAATGACAGGCTGGTTGAACAGGGTTTATTGTAAAGTGACTTTTTGCTTACTATATTGTTTTTCCCCTTCACAGTTTTGCATTTGGTTCTCTGATCTCTGCAGTAGATCCTGTAGCAACTCTCGCCATCTTCCATGCCTTAGATGTGGATCCAACTCTCAACATGTTGGTTTTTGGCGAAAGTATTCTCAATGACGCAGTCTCCATCGTCATGACTAAGTAAGATTTGCTGGCGAGGGAACATACACGTTATTCCAAAATAGGCGCAAATTTAGAAAGAAAACAAACAGAAAGAAAAGAAAAAAATTTGCACTCACACACCAACTCTAATGTACACCAGCATAATTTTTGTAGAAAGTTTGTAGGATGGCATGTAGAGATGGGCCAAGCAAGGGCAGACACCCGAGAAGAAAAAAATAATAAGAGACAGCACTAATTTCATTTCTGTATTAAACCATTACTAGTGTTATTTAACAATTTTTTTTTCTTTTTTCACAGTACTATTCTTGAAATGGGATCTGAGCAGTATGCAGACAGCAGTTCTTTTGAGACATTTTTTTCTGCTGTGGGGAATTTTTTAGTCATGTTCTCAGCTTCAGCTGCGATTGGCATTGCATTTGCTTTGATAAGTGCATTGATATCCTTTAATGAAATGGTGTTTTTGTAAACATGCTAATTAATACTGATGCTCTAGAATGTCAATTTGCATTGGATTAATGTCATGTGAGGCCTGGTGTAATGGATATTTTGTAATTATTGCAAAAGCATTTGTGGCAACAGATTTAATTGTTTGCTTAGGAAAATATGCTAGTTCTGACTTCTTATGTGTTACCTGGGAACATTACGCATTGTTGCATTCTCACTCAAATTATGATGTTTTATTGTACACCAGAAGGCCAGAAGGTTTTGGTTTTTTTGTTTAATAATATTATACTTTTCTGTTGTTGCTGTCCTTCAGCTTCAGAGCTAACTGAAGTCCAAATCATAACCAGATGTTTATGTTTTGAGCATGTTTTTCTTAACTGAATTTACCTTCTGAAGCATGTTGATTTACGTAGCACTCCTTCTCTAGAGCTTGGTACCATGTTGATATTTTCATATGCTCCTTACGGTCTCGCAGAAGGTTTGAAGTTATCTGGTAAGTGTGCTAGACTGTACATTTTACTTTACTTTCGTGTCTTCTTGGACAAAACAAGCAAAATTAAACAGATTCACAGAAAAATGGAATCTTAAGTAGTACACAGAACTTTTAACGACACTGTAGTATTTTCCATGTCAGCTTGTCACAAGCCTTCAAGCAGCTTTACTACTTTATATAACACGGATCATGTTTAAAGGGATATCTCACAGCTGTCCAGTTTGTTTTGTTAATATTGTCAATTAAGTGTCCTTATTTGCTGTGGAACTTAATGTTACCAAAGAAATTACTTGTAAATGGCAAAATCATAACTTCTTTGTCAAACATATTGTTGAGTTGTCACTCTTCAAGTTCCTNGGACAAAACAAGCAAAATTAAACAGATTCACAGAAAAATGGAATCTTAAGTAGTACACAGAACTTTTAACGACACTGTAGTATTTTCCATGTCAGCTTGTCACAAGCCTTCAAGCAGCTTTACTACTTTATATAACACGGATCATGTTTAAAGGGATATCTCACAGCTGTCCAGTTTGTTTTGTTAATATTGTCAATTAAGTGTCCTTATTTGCTGTGGAACTTAATGTTACCAAAGAAATTACTTGTAAATGGCAAAATCATAACTTCTTTGTCAAACATATTGTTGAGTTGTCACTCTTCAAGTTCCTTCAGTTCTAGATCGCACAAAATTCGGCTTCAATCGATTTCAAAAGTTTTGTGTATTGTTGTCATAGTGAGATAGACTTTACGTAAAACTAAATTTTGAGAAACTTCAATCCAGAGTCAGTCAGTAGTGGAAATTTTATAGCAATTGGACAAGGATAAAATCACTTTCTACGTGATGGAAAAATCTTGGTATGCTCTACGAAAAACTGTATCTAAACACCTTAATTTATTGTTGGTCATGTGAGTCAATTGCTAGTGATAATCCTATTTTGATACCCAATGGACGATGAAAGATTCTCTTTTACAAAAGCCTAGTGATTGATTAGTAATATTTACATGTACCCATTGCAGGTATAATGGCTATTTTGTTTTGTGGCATTGTAATGTCACACTACACTCACTTTAATCTGTCGCCAATGACTCAAATTACAGTACAGAGTATATTCCGCACAACAGCCTTCATGGCAGGTACGTTTGTTTGTTTGTTCCTTTTTCTTTTATTGGAGAGCTTTAGATTCTAAGACGAGTACGACTACGAGTACGAGATTCTCTCAGCACTAAGTAGTGCACGCGGGAACTAGTGTCATTTGGGCAGCAAAATGTGGTAGCTGTCGTCATTCTACTACGAGTTTTCGCGCGAATGTTAGTTTTATCATTTTGCGATCGGGAGAGCACGTAGCCTCGAGATAACCATGCTAACTTCTCTAGTGAAAAATGTTAAAATGAAGCTTTCCGGGAAGTCTCTATTTTGAGAAGACGCGAAAAAACTTCAAGTCAAATCTCGTACTCGTAGTCGTCCTCGTCTTCGAATGTAAAGGTCTCTGTTAGCAGTTATCTCCAAGTTTTTATTCTGTTCTTTAGTTGTCATTAATAACTGTATCTCTTGATGGATTGTTCCGCGCTTGACGTATCCAGGGGCTTGATCCACTTTTGGCAGCCAACCCCTAGACTGAACAATGCTTGCATGACTGGGACAACAGTGCAACCCAGCTATGAGCCTCCACAGAGTCACCTGTCATACGCCCAAAACAAGGCTGCTGCCTAAGAAAATATTTTAACATTTTAAAATAAAAAGTTAGGAGCTGGAGCCACATTTCTAGGAGCCCATTGATCGATAAACTTAAATAAGTAAGCAGATGCTCGAAACTCGATTTGTTGGAGTTTTGAGTTTCCAGAAAAGTGCTTGTTTGTTTACTTTTATCAGCGGAGATTTTTCGCCTACAGTCGACGAACACTCATTTAAAGTTTTCATTTCAAAAGCTCATAATGAGCAGGGAATTCTGTTGTTCATTCATTGGAAGAAGCATCGAGGCTATTGCCTTAAGAATCATAAGTTTTAGGCCCCTGTGCGGGTTCCTTGTTCAAAATTGTAGTCGCCCGTGAGCATATCGTACAAGCCTCTGGTAACCAGGCGACCGTTAGGCAGCAGCCTTGCAAAATATCAGTGGAAAAGCAAAGGGGAAGGGAGAGGGGGACTAACGGGCTGAATAAACCTATCCCAAGCGCTGCTTGGTGGAAAGAAGAATTTCATCCTGCTGCCCAAAACATGTCCTTGAACAATCACAATCAAGGGCGGATTTAGGGGTGGGCCGAGGGGGCCGCAGCCACCCCTTTTTCTTTGAAATTTTGTATTATTCTCATAGAATTCTCAGAAAAATAAAAAGTACCTACATAGCTGGAAAGTGTCGCGGCCACCCCTTCTCCTTATTTTCTGGATCCACCGCAGACAATGTAGTGTGTAGTGAAGTGTAACGTCACAAAAATTTGAATTTGTAAAATTATGGGATTGACCAAGATATATTTTAGAAAGAACAAGTTGAAAACTTTTGTCGCGCCTTTTCTCCCAGCCCGACTGACCGCCCCTGGGTCTCCGAGGATGGGTGACAGCCAAAATTCAGCTGGGTAAAGCAAATTGGTGGTGAGATATAAGCAACGCTATGCTCAGATGCCTCTATACGTATCCTAAAATTGACCAGGATTTTAGAAGTATTTGTAGGGAGTCATCTGAGCGGCATAATTTTGTCATAGGTAACTGCCAAATTTGCTCTAACCAGCTGAATTTTGGCAAATGGACAGTTTTCGTCTTGTTCTTTCCGATTATCTTTTCTAATCTTATAATTTCTTAAATTTAGTTTTTGTGACGTCATCAGTTCACTACTCTGTTACTTAGCATGCAATAACGGACTGACCACTGGCCACTAGCATTGATGGCACTCTGTCGATTGCATTTAAAGCAATAAAAAATGTTATGAATCCTAGCCTGGATACGTCAACAAAACGTTTTAGGTTCTTGTCCTGAAAAGAATTTGACTCAGTGTACAGAAGATTCTTGTAACTGTGTGTTTAACTAGAAGGTACCTTTTGGGTCTCATGAATTGCTGAAGTCTGACAGACCACCCAAACGTTTAATTTAAGTTCAGTGTTGTGTTAATTATAACTGACAGGAGTGTTTTTTTTATCAAGTTTGAAAAACAAGGCAGTGATCAGTGCTTTAGACCTGATAAAACACAAACTACAAGTTTTTTTTCTTTCATCTATATTGTAGATCTGTTGATTTTTATTCTTACAGTAACTGTTAATGTGGTTTCTGTTTTCCTAAGAAAACCAGAACAAAATTTTCCGCTGTGTTTGAAAACTTAATATTTATTGAATTTTAAAGTCCTTTGCATTTTTTCCTGAAACTATGTATTTATTACTTTCCAAGGGACAAAAATATAACTGTTTTTGAAAGGAAACATTTGCTCATTTTCGTTACTATGCTTATTCGTGGTAACTTAACTTGTATTTCTCTTTCTTCTTTCAGAAACATGTGTATTTGCTTATTTAGGAATGGCAATTTTTAGTTTCAAACATCAGTTTAGACCAGCATTTGTTATATGGACTATAGTAAGTACCGTTCCTGGTGCAAATCAAATCCATGAAAGCTAAAGCCTTCTGCGTTGGTAGCTTAGAAAAAAATTTCTTAAAAATGTAAATATTTGCTGATTTCTTTCTCTATCTCTCTCTTTTTTTTTTAGATTTTGTGCTTACTTGGAAGAGCAGTAAACATATATCCATTATCTTCACTTGTAAACCAATTTAGAGATGTCAAGATTTCTAGAAAGACACAGTTTATCATGTGGTTTAGTGGTAAGTTTTTTTTTGACACTTTCTTTTTTGGGAGCAGTTTAGTCCTCGTTTCAGCTGTCGTTTGTGGTCGACACGCCCGAAAGCAGAGTTATTTCGCCCGAAATTTTTAGTTAAGTCGCCCAAATGCTGACTTATTTCTCCCGAAATATTATGATGCTCAACAACATCCCAACATGCCTGTAACATATTTATCGTTGTTGTTTCGTCTCATTGAAGTTTGAAGAACGAGATATATTTTACATTTAAATATCCCGCTTGTTTCGTCTCAACATGGTTTGAAGAACGAGATATGTTACACACACTCTTTATTTAAATTTATTTCTCTGTGTAGTACACCTGATAAAATTTCGGGCGACATAACTCACCCTTTGAGCGAAATGACTTTTGGGCGACATGACCGGTCTCTTTGGCATTAACCAGGCTTAAGGTGGTGTTAAAACAGTCCAGGAGAATCTAAGATAATCGTTATTGAACAAGTACAAGAAAACAATTTGTACTTTTTTGCGTGTGCTGTTGGGCGATTACTCTGATACCGGCAGCTTAAATTTGATGGAAATCGCTAGGAGCTCTCAGTGTGCTAGTGTTATTGGCGAACGTTTGTCGAACCGGGATTGAAGGAGAAGGAGAATTTCCCCTACAAATGCCAACGGCAAACGGCCTCGACGGATAACACTCTCCTCGATCTTCATAATTCATTCGTATCATTCTCAACCTTTGGCCTAGGCCAAACGTCGAACTTTTCATGAGACGAACCAAACTCTAATTTAAGTTTCTGTTGGATCAGACGTCGTATTTAGGACGTATCGAACCAATCAACTGAATCAGAACAAAAAGCAAATTCAATGAATTTTCCTCCCGAACGAGGCTGAATATCCATTGGCATACAAGTTTTTAATTATTAGTTTAGTTCGTCGCATTTGAAGATCGACCTTTGTCCCGGAGACGATTTCCAGACGTTGTATCCAGACGTTTAGAACGTAGTGGACGATCCAATTTTATTGAGGCGAACTTAACTGATCCAGACCTCAACTTTTCATGACCTTAGCTCGTTTAGTTTGGTTCGTCTCATAAAAAGTTCGATGTTTGGCCTTGGCCACAGGCTACCTCCGCACGAAGCCGGATATTTTTGAAACCACATACTTTTTTTTACAAGAATCGGCCTTCCTCCCACACGAAAAGAGGTGAATCCGGTTACCGAAACCGCTTTGTTTTGAAACCGCTCTCCAGAGTGGTTTATACCCCGTCCACACGAATCTGAATAATACATATGCGGTTTTGAAAATTTCCTGATTCGTGTGAGCTTGGCCTTGTTCAGTAATTGCTTAAAAACAGGGCTGCTCAAAGTCAATCAGATTAGAGAATTTTGTTTTAGTAATGATTACTCATGGACATTTTTAGAACCAGAATACACCTCATATTAAAGCAGCTGTGTCACGAAATTGATTAAAATTCAAACAGTGGGCTGGGTAACTGCCCAGCTACTCCTCCCCTAAGTCAACATTAACACTTACTTCTCACTTAGGGCAAAATTATGACTTAGGGAGGGGTAGGTGGTCAGTTACCCAGAATTAACTGCTCAAAACGTTAACAGAAGGTATTACTAACACAGAAAAATACGGATGGACGAACGTGAAGAATATTGAAACGGACTGCAGTTATGGTTTTTGACAACTTGTTAGCCTAAGAGTTTTTCAAAGTTTATTTTTGCTGATTGTAACGTTTGATATAATGCTTGTGAGGCATGTTTAATAGACACGAAGCTCGATTTTCTCATTCACAAGTAATTTTTTTCAAGTTTCATGGCGAATAATGACTCATAACTGGCGTTATAAACAAAATGAACTAGCCATCCACAGGGATGCCACGTAGTATATCAAGCATGAGACGCAGTGCTTCATCTGTTTTCTGTTTTTACACACGGCCTCCTTGATTTCGTCCACAAAAGAAAAGTAGAAATAATAAAATCAAAAATAGAATCTAAAATCTAATCAATCCTTCAATCAAAAAGATATGAAGTTACATTTACATATGCTGAAGGAAATACCGTGTTTAAATAAAGTAACCTTACCTTACCTTACCTTACCTGTGAGAAGAGAGTTGAAAAAGGACGCGCAGCGGAGTGTTTTTGACGAAATTCGAGGTGTTTCATCTGGTGATGAAACACTGTGTCGAATGCTTGATGTTACTTCTCAAACAAAATGATTTTATCAAATATAAATTTAGGATGCCAAAAAGAGCAGTTTTTCCAAACACTCGTTAAACATTAATTTCCTTTGTATTTTCTTTATGAATTATTAATGAGCTTGGGAATAAGATTTCAAGTTGCCGCGTAAATACAAAAAGTAGGCGGGGAATCAAACAGCTAGGGGTTTCTTTTGGTTCTATTTCTCCTCTATTTTCCAATGAGAGTAGCCGGGGCCACATTTATAGTAGCCAGGGAAAAAACCCCTGGCCCACGGCCTTGTCATCCTTGAAACAGCCCCTTTTAAGTGTTGTTTGTTTGTTTGTCTTCTCAGGGTTACGTGGTGCCGTGGCCTTCGCCCTTGTACTTCATCTTCAACTGGATGATGAAAAGCGACATGTTCTTATCACATCTACGCTCATTATAATCATGTTCACAATTCTCTGTTTAGGTGGATCAACTCTTCCCCTGTTGAAGGTGACTTACGCTTCTTGACGTTGCACTGATGTACACCTTTTTCAAATTTTTATTGTCCTCACTGAACTTAACAACGGCGGTAATGTTTGTATATCAGGACTATAAAATGCACTTTCATGTAATTGTCTGTCTATACGTGCTATGTGAATATTCATCGTCGTGAAAAAGTGCTTAATGAATGTGTACGGACGAAAATGAATTTCGATTCAACAAAATTAATCAATGCGTTTTCATAGAGATGAAACTGATAACTGCGTTATTGAAAGTTTTTTTTTTTCTGGTAATGACTAGCAAAAAGTGTAGACTTGAGAGCGTGAAAACCGGCTTACTCTAAAACTTTGTCTCAAAAGATTTTGGTGATGGGATCGATATTCCCCTGAATTCTCATATTTATCATTTAATTTTCCTGAGCAAAACGGTTGATTTTCAAGTAAAATGGGTTCCTGAAGGTTCGAGAATCTGTTTCGACGTTTCTTCTAACTTAGAGCCTTTTGGCGTCGGAGCAAGGGTCAGCAGGAGCCGCTTAAGGCTACACTGAAGTGGACAATTCGAACAGCCCTTTTAAGCCCCTTTGTTCCAAGCCTCCTCTGTTCACTCGGATAGCGCGAACTGGCCTGGGTACGAAGCTGGGAAAACCGAGATGTGAGCAATGTAAGGGTCTGGGGGTTTGGGATGACGGAACCGCCAGAAATCTTAAATATGAAAATTGTTATATAAGTTAAGCGAAGGAGACACTCAAATTGTTTAGGGTGTATATAGATATTAGGCTGGCTCCAGTTGTTCAAAAGTTGGATAGCGCTATCCACCAGATAAATCATTATCTAGTGGATAAGTATTAGGGAAACCAATCGCGCTATCCAGTGGATAGAGATTTATCCCGCCGATAGCATTATCCACCTTTTGAACAACCGGGGCCTGATCGTTAAGCCTGATTCGGGAATAGTGATCTAAGATCTCGGTATTTGTTTTAGTGCGCTCTTGCTTTGAAGTCGCTGCTTGAAAATTTGAAAACATAATTGCAAAATAGCTTTTGCTATTTGTGGGCGGAGATGGCAAAATGATGAGATAGTGTGTGTGAGAGTCCATCTTTTCCCCGTTTTGAAATGGTGCAACTCGCATGTGCGGCGGTTATTTCTGCGGGCACCCACTTCACTCTGCCTCTTTCTTTGGGTCTCTAATGATTGAAGTTTGCGAATGTTATGTCTTTTGCAGTTACTTAAAGCAGAACAAGGAATGGAGAAAGGCTTAACACTTAGTAAAACACAAACTGAGGTATGTTTCTAAAACAGTCAATTATGTCTCCAGTAACATGAGAAAGGGCATCATTTACTTTCTTGCGTTTGGAAGTCAGAGAGTTTTGGTCTGCAGGGATAGGGAATTTGTTATGCTTAGATTTTTGGATTTCCGTGCTAAAAACATTGCCCTGGTTGATTTTCACTCCGCAGGGTAAAGCGGTAGATGCAGACCAACTCACTGATGATGAATGGAGGATAAGCAGTAGGAAGGCTCTTAAGGGATTCACACGGCTTGACGCTAGATATTTTATTCCATTCTTTACAAGGAAGTTCACCAGACAGGTACGTAAAAATAAGGTTAGCAGTTTCGAACCCAGGCCTTATAGGCGTGTGCTTGGTACAGTGATGTCAGTTCTATGATCATCGGTTTATCAATAAATGGTTGCTCGTACTCAAAAACCAGTTTGACGAAAGAAAACAAGATTGACCAGTCCAGACGTTTGGGCTGCGGAGACGTTAGTGGCTTGTTGCGGTTCAGGCAGAGCCTCCTTTTCTCCTCCTCGATCAGGGAAACTGCTCACCCACCACTCCCTTAACCCATGTTTCTCACTGACGTGTGACTTAAGGCCAGAAAGATGGGTTAGGGGTGGGGTGGGTGGGCAATTTCCCAGAAACCTAATCTGATCCAAGGAGGCTCTACTTGCAGGGTGAAACAGCACCAGTGCAATTGTTTTTTGATTTTTTTTGCAATTCTGTCCCAAAAAATGGCCAGGTAAGTTGCAAGAAAACTTCTACCGTAACATCGCCATCGCAAGCCTGTTAACTCCTTTGTTCATCCTGCAGGAGGTTCGTAATGCGCATGAGGAGATGCAGAGACTTACCAGTCAGTTATATAGTGAAGTACACAGTGACCTTGCATCAGACGATGATGAAGCAGAAAGCAAACTTTGAGTCGCTTTCTTCATAATTAAGTTAGACTAAAAGAGAATAATTGGACAGAGAGGGAATCTTAGGGCGTTGGCCGGGATATGGGAATTTCACTGAAGTTAGTTTTGGAGGTTGTAACTAAACGGAAGTCTAATTCCTGAGACGTCCGCATATATTAATCGATTATTTGAAACGTCATCAAGTCGACGCGCGACTGTCTCGAAGCAAACACTGCAGAATATTGTAATGGCGACTGTTGAATTTTCTCTTCAACACAATGAATAAAAGTTTGCGGACCCCTCTGGAAACCAGCTTCCGATGAATTGAAACTAAAAATAACTTTGGTGAAATTCACATGCCCCAAGAACGAGACTGGGCATTTCCATCTCTGTTCCATTATTCTTTCCTGGTTGAGGAGCTTTGTAAATACGTTTCCTAAAGGAATAGTGGGGAAAATTTGATAAAATTAGAGAATTTATCCTGACTGATCATATCCTTATTTTTCATGACCTCGGTGATTGTTTAAGCATTGACGTTATGACGAGAAATGAGGAAATAATCACTATTGGGGCTTACAGGGTAAAGTCAGTTCTTTGTCCAGCAGGGGTAGTAGGAACGTTCTTGGTGAATCTCAGTTATAACAAATATTAAGGAACGCGTCAAACTCTTTACTCAATTATCATTTACGTTCGGCTTCTGTGAAGTACAGCATTTGAGCCTGTTAAGTTCAGCTGATTGGTTCGGCTTAGCCTACCCTGCAAGCAGAGACCCTTCGATCTTCCTAGTTACAGTCAAACTTCTTTAATACGGACAACAAAGGGACAGAACCAAGTGTCCGCTTTACAGAGGTGTCCGTATTATAGAGGTAGGGAATGTGTGATTTTTGGCTTTTGTGGGACCAAACGAACTGTTCCTAATAGAGAGGTGTCCGTATTATAGAGGTCTCTGTAAGGAGAGGTTAGACTTTATATCCAGGAAGATCGAAGGGCCGCACTCTACTGAATTTGTCTTCCAAAGCCAATTAGAACTTTTTCTAAAGTTTGGCTTAATTAAGGTCGGCTGTTTGACACCACGTCAGAACTTAACTAGGTCGACCCAAAATGTTATCAAGTTCGGCTCATGTGAAGCACGGCGCCTGACCAGGGTCTAATTATCAATAGCCCGTGAAGGGTGAAACCAAAAATTAGTTATGATTGAGGAAGACTAAACTGTCTAAAAAGGTAACAAATTAGACGTTATTTAAAACTGCCACAGTGTATAAACTTGCCGCAGTTAGTGTAAGATAGTATAAATACGTTTATCTGTTTGTGCAATGTAACTGTGTGTTTGCTTTGGTAATGCGTGACTATGCCATGATTGGCTTTAAAAATCTCTTACTATTTTTTAACCAGTCAGAAGTGTAGTAGAATCAGTAGGCTTTTCCCACGCTTTTTGAGTTTTTCATTTACAGATGACCGGGTGGGGTGGGGTGGAGGTTATTTATTTATTTTTTCGGTAGCCCTTCAAAGGTAAGAGTGAAGTCAGAGGGTAGACTGTGAGGTTTTTTTGCTCACTTAAGGGCGGCGAGGGTGGGGGAGGGGGATAGAAACTGTTTTGAGGCTCAGAAAATTGGCCTCCCCGAGACGTTCTTGTGGCCGTTCACGCAACCTCCCCGAACGCGTGACAAACCCCTAAGAACGTCTGCGTGGGAGGCTAGGACAAAACGCGCGTGAAAATTTTCCCCTGTTAATATCATGGGTGAACAAATAACGCTGAAAATCGTGTTTTTACTTCTTTATCGTATCCAGAACTCCACGCACTGAAAAGTGTGGGGCGTAAATTTTGGCCTAAGTTTTATTTTTCGACAAAGTACCTGTTAGAATCCTCGTAGATGTGCTCTTTCCGTGTGTTAAGGTTTCTTAAAGCGTCTTTTAATGTCCTGACATCTTCATTTATAAAACTTTAAAACTTCGACGCCCTCTTTGCACGGAGAGGTACGGAATGTTGCCATGGCAATTTTGTAATTTCACACGTAAATTTATAAATCAACGCTGAAGTTTCGCGCTAAATTTTAGGGTAATTTGTCACCTATGATATTATAAATAAAATCCCTGTATGCCTGCTGTCTTTACCGGTGGTAATTGGCAAAAGAAGTTACTTTTTTGACACCCTTGTGAATACTGATTTATTATTTATATTGTTTACATGTTTATGGTATTTTTTTATTTTCATTGGGCGTAACCTCACAACTTGTATAAATGTACAGTTGTTCACAATATACTTTGAACTTTTTAAACTCTCGATAACTAGACGAAAAGCTTAATTGTTAACGGTTTACTTTGAGAATAATATGAATTTAAATAGCCTTGGTATAACCTAAATTAAATTTATTTATCTGAGAATTTAAGTATCAGGCCTTCCTTCGGGCTAAGGGAAAGATGATTTTAAAGGAATTCATCCAGGCGTTCGGATAGTGAGCGTGGCGCGAAGTAAGAGAGCGAGGAAAAAATAAGGGGGAAGAGGGGGAGAGGAGGGAACCTTCGAGGGTTCCCTCGCTCTCACCCCTTACCCCGCCCCCTCGCTGTTTTTTTCTGCTCACATCTCTTTGCGCCGTCCCCACGGTCTGAACTCCTGGAACAGGCTATTAAGGAAGAAGAATTGAAGGGGGAGGGAGGGTGGGGGGTGGGGGGGTTGAGCGGAGAGAGAGAGAAAGAGGGAAGAAGTTTCTCTCCCTCTGCTTCTCTCTTCCCCTTTCCCCAATTAACGCTTGATATGCAGGCTATATATGTATCGACCCAACAACGCGATTTTGTCTTGTGTTAACTATGTACAAACACCACTTTTGTAACGATGCAAGAGGCCATTCAGGTGTAATGCAAACTGGAATAAAACGTTAGAAGCAAAATTCTCCAGTCGAAATCAAACACTTTACAAATCTTAATTAGTTGGAGCAAGCGGGCTGGAGAGAGGCTGAAAAATTGAACCTGGGATTTCCAAGAAACAAATCCAGCCAGCGGTCACAGGGGGAAGCAGTAGGGACTACGAAACTGCGACGGCGACGGCAAGCAGGACGTCAAAAAGGCAATAGGGTTAATGAGCAAAACAACAACTCTGCACGTGCATCACGCTTTTTTGTACATTTCTTTGCTGTCCCTGCACAACTACCACTTAAAATGACCAAATTTTAAGTTTTCTTGAGAACGGGAACAGCAAGGCGATGAATTCTACCATTTGTCTGAACTCGGGCGCGGTCTCCTCTCCTCAGCTCCAACCAAAATTCCCTTCTTTTAAGTAACAGGGCGAATTGGGATAATCGAGAAAAAGTTTAAAAGGATGCGAAGTCTATTTTTCAGCGACGTTTTTATGGACGTCGCCGTTGTCGGATCGTAAGGTCCCTAGTACCTCCCGATTACGAGCCCAGCCTCTGGTCCCATATAAAACGCTGGCTCAATATATTACACTCCCTCCCCTCCCCTCCCCTCCCTACCCTTCCAGACCTCTCAGTGCTGGAGAATGTCTTTGATTTACCCAGACGATTTTTACGGGTCCTCGATAGGTGTTTCAGGCATTGTTATTTCTTTTGTTCGAAACTCGGGATTCTCGAGATTTGAAAGCAAAATCAGGGCGGGATTCGGGTTTCTCCCGCATGGGAGGCGGGATGCCAAAAATGATCGTCGGAATTACGGGATTGCACGAAAATTAAGTTCGGGATGACGGGATTGCAGAAGCCTTTACTATTGCATTGGGGGCCCTCATTTATAGAACTATAATCGTTGATTAATTTTTTTCACACTAGCTAGAACCAAGAGAAAATCTCTTGCTAGAACAGACTTCCAGAAGGAGAAAAACTGAATAAAGCCTAAGTTCGTGAATTAAGCGTGAAACGCACCATGCAAACTTTAGAAATGAGACTTCTATCGCCTTGGCTTAACACACTGGACTGCTGGTTGCAGTATTCAAGAAATTTGTTTGAATTAGAAAATCACTAAACTGTCGATACAGAGGTATCAGATACATTTATAGGCGAATTAATGAAACTATATATGACAAATTCCGCTCTATGAAGTAACCTCGATCAGCTGTTTCCGCTTATCAGTAAGTGATAATCAATCTATACTTTTTGCCTCGGTTTATACTCTGCAGTACCCTGGCTCCAGAGGTCCGTTCTCAAAATACCTAATATGATATAAACCGTGCATACGGTTTGATAAGGCTCCCGAGACGGAGAAATGTTTTTTCTCTCGGCGCTTTGCGCCTCGTTGACGCGGCTTTGCCGCGAACCATCAAAATCGTTAAGAAAAAAATATCCTCTGGAACCCAAGGTAATTCTGCAGTTTACTTTAGGATATATATCTTTTTCGATTCGTAATCAGAAACTAAAACCGGGCCATCCGGTGTTCTAGCTATTGCAATGGGATCTTGAAGCTTGGTGGCAGTTTTTCCCGTGAAAAAGCCGTCCATTGTTAACTGCACAATCCGTCCATTACCACTGTCACAAACAAGGATATTGTAATGATTTCCCTGTTTATCGAGGCATAATCCCTGGGGCCAGTTGAAGTGACCAACCCCTTGTCCCTGCTCTCCAATTCTAGCCAGAAATTTCCCTGAATGGTCGAAGATTTTTAAGCAATGGTTCCATGTATCTGATACAATAAATCTTTTGTTGTGGAAGACACAACCACTTGGACGGTTAAGTTTTCCTGAGCCGCGGTCACCGAATATAAACAGAGGCTCACCATCCACTGTAAATACTTGCATTCGATTGTTGAAGCAGTCGGCTATAGCCACCCGACCCTCGTCATCCACACAAACGCTTTCGGGGTTATGCAACTCGCCTATTTCTTTGCCGTACGTTCCAAAACTTAACTCGCAGGACCCTGTATACACATTGAAAAGTTGGACGCGGTGATTGAGGTAATCTGTCACAAGGATTTCGTCGTCGTTGAAAAATGTCACGCCAGCTGGAGCATGAAGCTCACCGCAATTCTTCCCATGACGGCCAAATTTTCGCAAGAACTGTCCTTTTTTGTCAAATACCAGGATACAGTGCCCATCGCAATCAACCACAGCAACAAGCCCGTCCCTGCTCACAGCGATTCGAAATGGCCCTTGAAGGTCCTCGAGTTGTTTTAAATCGAATTCTCCCAGCATATGGAACTTTCTATCCCTAACGGGGACTATAAAAGGGCTGTCTGGCAGCGCTTTTCCATTTATCTTGACGCTGACGTTGTAAACGCCTGATAATTTGGGCGTAAACCTGACCACAAACCTTGTTCCATCTTCGCATCCACGAGTCTTCAAACTTCCCACTAGCTCAGAGGGTTCTACGATCACTTCCGCTTGGAATTTGTTTTCTTTATCTTGAACGTCAGTATTCACTTTTGGGCATATAACAATTGATGACTCTAGACCAGCCTGGAAGTCTTGAGTCAGCCCATGTACAATTGGTTCGATGATACCCAGGGTTAAGTTCTCAGGCGTACAGGTGGGAACAAACTTCACATGTGGACTAACTTGGACTGATGGAACTTGAGTCTTGTTGAGATCTGCAAATCGCTGTTGTAAATATGGCTTGTTTTCCATGATAACTGAACTTGAGCTTCTTTGTACCAGATTGTCAGCAAATTCTACTGCTTGATTAATTTGCTTGGCCAATGACTGCACTTGGGTCTTCACCGAGTTTAATTTCTCCGTTCTGAACACGCGCGTGTCCTCGAGGGCAGTGATGGCGTCGCGTTCGCGTTCTCTTATCTTCCCAATCATCTGTTCTGCCGCGTGGGAAACTTCACGTTTTGCAGCGGTCACGTTCCCTTCCAGATCGATAACTGTTTGCTCAAACTGTCGAATCACATCACGACAAACTTGACTTTTCTGTTTCATCAAATCCACACCAGTCATGATTTTCGCTTTTTCGTCATCTGCTGTCTTGTCGAGGGGTTCCACTCGATGATCCCTGTGATCAGTGATCACGCAAACCTGACACACACACGACTGGCACGCGAGGCAGAAAAACCTCGTCACTTCTCGCTCGTGATACGGTTCGTGGCAAAACGATTTTCGTTTTAACAAGGCCTCGTAGTCGTCGGTCTTGAAGTTTCTTATCGGTCTGACTTTGTGTCCGTCAAACGCGACATTTCGTAGAAGTTCGTGCGCGTCAACGCAGTCCGGACACATAAATCGGCCACACTCGAAGCAAAAACTAGTCTCCGCGCTCTTTTTTCGGCAGCTGCTGCAACTAATCTCGCGTCCATCGCCGCTTTGCTGCACAGTGAGAAGACCAAGTAAACTATTCTGAAGGAAACCAGTGGGCAATTTGTCAAAGCGAAGTCCTTCTGGGACTGCCACTTCTGCCTGACACTCGGGGCAGCGAAATTTTCCATCTCGAGAGCTCGTTTGAGCGTGTTTTTCCAAACATTTGAGGCAGAACGTATGGAGACAGGCTATTGTCTTGGGTTCTGTGAACGTATCCAAACAAATCGAGCACGTTACGTGCTTCTGAAGGTTTTTCAATAGAGACTCCATAGCAAAATCATTTGTTTGTGTCAGTACGACAGTAATCGAAATCCGTATCACGTGGCTAGAGAAGGGAGGAAAGGAGGGAAGAAGGGAGAGGGGGCTGGGGAGAAAAGGAAAGCGCTCTTCCCCTTTCCAATTCCCTTTCGTACTTTTCTCCCCTCCCCTCCCCTCCCTTTCCCTTTTTTCGCCTACGACGCAAGCTTAAAGTTTACACAACAGGACAGCAGAAAGAGGAGGACGCCAAAACGCTTGTGTGACACACGTGACAGGGCTATTACTCACATGCTTTGTCGTATCACTAACAATGTATTTTGGTTGTTTTTAAAGGAGGGTGAAGTTTGAGGCAAATTTTCCTTATTCAAACAAAATTTATATTGTCATTCTTGCCACACAAGGTTTGCCGTCTTCTTTGCTCTCCCATCCTGTTGCGTAAGTTCACTATAAACCATACCTAATCTTAGTTAGACAGCGGTACAGACGGCTAACTTCTGCTGACAGCTATTCTGCCTCGGGCGTTATGTAAAGATTTTGACAAAGTTTTCTTAAGGGTAGATTTCCACTGCCGCATAATTTTTACGTGTTCAATTACGGGAGTGAAATTTATGTGCGTAAAAGACATAGCTTTAGGCATTGTATGAAAGATCGCTCGTAAACGTAAAAGTTGTGCGATACGATGTTCAACTTTTATATCGTTTAGGTTTCCAGATTTATTGCCTCTATTTTATTCACGCACGTTAATTTTACGGCAACATGATAGAGGCACTGTCTCATAGATGTCGCGCTTAAACGTATTGGTAAAAGTTGAACCTCGCACATCAACTTTTACATTGACACGCGACCTTTCCTGGTCATTGAACAAACTCGTCCTCACGGCTTTTCCCGCCGCGCCCCTCCCATTTTGAGACTTTTCTAAAGACAGTGATTATACAGTTGAAGCTCTCCTTGCGACTACTCTCGTAAGCGACCAGCTCTAGTTACGATTATCTTTGTGAAACCCCGTTTGAACTGTGACTTAGGGTAGATTTCCACTGTCGCGTAATTTGTACGTGCGTAAGCACGTAAATATTACGCGCGTAAAGCAATCTTGACCCTAGTGCTTACTCTTCTGACTCCGCGCGTTCTCTCCTAGACATGTGCAGAAGAGCTCTGGGTCGAGATCGGCATGGTCACGCATAAACGTAATAGTTGAAACTCGCTCAACTTTTACGTTACTGCGCATGCGTGGCC